GTTGCTATTGCTGCCGCCGGCGTCGAGGATCCTAGCCATGCGCATGCCTACCTGTCGGAGTCGGCCTGACACCACCTTTTGTGGTACATCACTCGCTCTTTCTATCCTCACCAGTCGACGCGTCGACGACCAACGTCATCACCGACACGACTGTCCTGCCGACCGGACTCTCTTTTCACCACAACCATGACGACAACCTTCCGGCTGGCCAGTTTGACCCATCCAAGCGGCCGGTATTTCGCGTAACCGGGCGGAAAACTGCCCCATTCCCGAGCTCGGCTGAGGCGGCAAGTAGCGTCCCATTCCGTCTCCACCCGGGCCCGTTTGTTGCCTCTGCGAAAGCTACTACTCACACGCCCGATGTGAGTAGTATGCGAGGCGACAAAAAGCATAATATGCTTCTGCCCATTCTACAGTGCAGACACCTCGAGACGGCCATTCTGTTGTGGAAGTGGTGTCCAAGTTGGCCGGCCGTGGTCTTCTGTTGGTGGTCAGAAATGTTTACCGACGAACGTCTCGTCAGTCCAAGGTCTCGAGTCTGTCCGTGTGCGTATGAATGCAGCCGGCTTTCTGTAGGTACAGCCGGGCCTGATCACCGCCACAGACCGGCCAAGTCGGCGCAGGGTGAGCCGACTGTGTATGTGTGTGTGTGTGTGTGTGTGTGTGGCTCGCCTGCGTGTCTGCGTGTCTGTCTTTAAACACGCACAATGCATCGCATGTGTAACATTTATTCACCGAGTTCTGCCCATGCACCCGAGCGTGTGTGCCTGGCGAGGCCTCGCGCTTGACTACGCCAAATCTGTCCGATCCACGATGGATTGCAATTATCTTGAAGCTGCGCAAATCGGACCTCGATTGTGTCCGAGACTCTCACTCAAGTTCCCGCGAGGTCGTGGCCGGCAGTCCGTTGAATATGAACTTTTTCCTCTTCCCCACCACACCACAACACAACACAACACACCACAACACAACACGACACACATGCTCACATGAAGACGCAGAGCAACATGAAGTCCACATGCAGGCAGATATAAACCTCGGAAAAAGCGGGTGAAGGTTGACCGCGAGGCCTTAACCTCGATGGGACGGCCGATGCCGACAGAGTCGCCGGGGGCAGGGGCAAAGCGAGGGGGGCGAGGGGGGTGGGGGCTGTGTGGGTGTGTCGAGTGGAGGCTGGGGATGATGCGCTTATCA